AAACAGATACTTTACGGATATGGTATATTAAAATGCAAAGATGTAATGGTAAACGTTATGTACAAAAAATAGTTTTATTCTCTTCCCCAGTCTTTACATGATTATATAACGGATATAAAGAAAAAGCTGGTAGCAGGTCTGTGCCTTTCTCGAAGCAGCGATTCAAACAGTTACACAGACCAACTGCTGTTTGTAGAATAGACACAGAACACAGCAGCTCACACTGGAGGGAGGACAATTAACCTGCAATAAAAATACCACCACTAAAGCTCTTGAAATGGTTACAGTATCGACATGCGTGCTGAGCGCAGTGTGTGCAGCGCACGCAGGCTTTGAATACTAATGGTGGCTAATAAAAAGTCAACTTCCTCCCAGCATTACTGTTTCAGTATCAGGGAGAGATATATCTATCCATGTTCAGGCAGCGCCAACTTCTACTGAAAGGGTTAATTCAGGCAGTGAGCATCGTGTGATTGACAGATAGTAAATAGTAAATATATTTTATTTATAAGGTGAGTCGAAGAATACAATTAAAACAGAGGTTACTTATAGCCGCTGTTAATGACGGGAGTTTGCTGGCACAGTGCCTGATGATCCCGTAATGCATTCAGAAACTTTAAAAAAATGAGTGAAAATCTCCCAACTGCCCCAATTTCTGCAGCACAGTTTCTATCTTAGGTAATTGTCACAACGTTACGCTTCAACAGTGCTCTCTGTATGATACTGCATGTTGTGGGCCAGAGCTGAGAAACAATTGAGATATAATACAGAGAGCTGGGTACAATACAGAGATGCCTATAGAATACACAGAGCTGGGCTGTCTACAGAGATACCCATACAACAGGTAGAGCTGAGTAAAATACAGAGATACAACTGAGCTGAGCACAATAAGGAGAAACGAGTAACTATCCCACACATTCAGGATCACTGTGATGGATTACACAGAGCTGCAATACAGAGATACCAACACAGTACATGTCTCTGTAAAACGCTTTAGCTCACTCTTTCTCTTTATCTTCCTAGCCCTCTCTTAGCTCTCCCTCCCATGATCTCATCTTCAGTAGTGCTCCTGCTGTGATAACTTTACCTTTCTAGTAAATATTGCTGCTGTTATGAAATATGTCAGCTACTTCATTAGCTCTCAGCAAACAGTGTGCACTATGCATCAAGATACTGATAGACTCAAACCATTTAGCTACCCCTGATTCATTATTAGCTACCAGTGCACACAGAGTTAAAGCAGCTTGATACTGATAAACTCCTTATTACCTTTGAAATTGGCAATATAATTAATCTGCAGTGGTGATTTGGAGCCAAGAATTACCTGACATGGTTAACAGAAGCAACAGTCATTGCAGATTTAAACAGATTGAAATCAGAATCAGATCAGTCCTCAGAGTCACAGCCCAAGTCCTGCATTTTGAAGCTTCACAACGTATCAACTAGCCTCAGCATGAGTGTCTCAGGTTTCTTCTGTAGAGTGACTGAGCAAGTTAGTAGACGGTGTGTTTGTCCATTAGGAGTTATTAAAACAAAGACCTCTGTGCAGGTTGAAATGTTTCTGTACGTCCTTCAATAAATATGCCTTACTTTGAGCCTAGTGAGGGCCTGAAACCTTTCTTGGATATATTACTTGCAAGGGTTGTGCTGACCCTGGGTCAGCTAAACACCCTGTGGCTTTTTCTGCATGACTGCAGTCACTACTAGTGACAGGCAGCACTGTGCTCTGTGTCAAAAATGCCCCCCTCCCCTTGTCACCCCTGGACATTACTGATGTCAGAATTCCAGAGCCGTTTTGTCTAGTATGGCGGCTGATTATTGTTGCATGGATCCTAGTAAAGATGAATTAATGTTCTTGAATCCTGCACCTAGCACTACTACAACAGGTGTACTTACTGTACTACTGCTGGTACTTAAAGGGACACTACAGGTACCAAGACCACTCCATCTCATTAAAGTGGTCAGCATGAATGTAGGTAGAAAACTATCCTTCGAATCTTCGTTTAACTATGGTTTCCTATCAGCACAATGCTTTGATTTGCTAAATGAACAGTTTATCATTCTTTTTCAGAACTGCATTTTAATGTTTTATTTTTTTGACATTTTTGTTCCATAGAACAAGAAAAAAAAACAACGTTTTCTGCAAGAATGTAGCTTCCTCTGCGCTGTTTGATACGTCTCAAAATAAAAACTGACATTTATTAATTTGGCAGGTCAAACAAATTCTGGGATTTTCTAAAGCTGAAATTTAAGCGTTAGGAATGTTTCTGTCCACCAAAAAAAAAAAAAATAGGATCAGTTAAACCAGTAGGTGAGGATCATTGGAGACTTAATTGACAAAGGATGTAGTACAAAAGGTCATCTACCAATGCCTTAAAACGATTAGGGAGCACTCCTGGCCCAGTTACAGATGTTACAAAGACACTTATTGAGTGAATGAAGGTGTTTCCCTTGTACTTTGTTGTTGTTTTGTTTTCGCAAATAAACCATAGAAACTGTAACTGTTACTTTGCCAACCTGCTTCGGAATCAATGCCACTTACCCGTCTTGCCAAGAGCAGGTTAGAACAGTTCAGTTATGGAAAGTGGAATGTACTCCGGTATTATCTGATTGCCTCGCCTGGTGCCACGTCAAACGTTTATTTCAAAATTCAGAAATGAGAAATGCTTTAAATGAAAATATTTATTTTCCCAACAATTTCATTATAAATTTCATTATCCATTAGTAGTGCTATGATTGTGTTACATGTCATTTGGTATTACAGCACTGTTTGTATGTCTAGAACTGGAGATTATTGCGTCTTTGTATATCTTGATGTTATATGTCCTTGTGTAAATGTGAAGCACTGCGGAGTATATTGGCATTATAGACATGAAAATGCCAGTGTAAATAATTAAAATACTAATAATAGCATAAGGTCAGGGGAAATAAGGCAGCCTAATAAATGTTAACCATTTCCTTCCTTTAAACACCCTTTTTCCTTTTAACCTGCAATTCCACAAATACTTTATGGATATTCTTACAAAGGAACAAAATAGTAATATATGAATATCTACAAAAATACCGACACTCCAAGGTTTTCATTCAGGTATTCCAGCAAGTCCATATATTAGATAGAATTCAAGATCTCAAGATTCTCATATTTGTATTTCTTTAATTTGTTTTTTAGCTTATGCAGAGACAAGGAAAATGCTAAACATTCTCATGCTGTCCAGTCCTCTGATCATTTTAAGTAATCGTCAAGAGTCATTCAAATTCAGTAAACAATGTGTTGCATAGTTCAGCATGAAATGGACACAAATAAGACATCTCTGCGATGCAGGTTAGTGCCTCCCTAGTCCTCCCTCTCCTCTCTCATCCTGCTGAATGGTACTGTTCTTTGATCTCCCCTGTCAGCAGCATTTGCCCAGTTTGCCTGATGGTAAGTCCGAGCCTGGTAAGATATCATTGCAGCTCCTATTGGTAAATATTATTGGTGAATATTTCTGTGTGATGCATGTAAATGTCCCTGTCAGTGTCAGCCCCCAGTTATCATTATTTAATAACTCCAACACCCCTCTCACCCCTGCTCTCTCCTGTCCCAATATTATACCAGCCAAAACCACGTTACATTTTGAACCAAATGTATTGGGCTTTTGGGTGAAAGTTTCAAGTAACAAGTATTACTACACTTAACCACGCCTTACAATTAAAATAATTGCTTTGTAAACTGTAATTAAAAAAATAAAAACTCTTTATTTTTGGTGCATAGGCAAGACGTTACATATTTGCTCACAATGCCCCAAAAGCAGTTGCCAGCGTACCAAAGAACATGTTAGAACAGTGGTGGGGTATGAGTAACATTGCACATTTTTATTGCAGGGTGGAGTGGGCAGTCGTGTGATGCCGGCGTGGTGTGATTGTCTCGTCAAGGGGGTTATCTCGTAATGTAAGTGCACTTAGGAGAATTGCCGGTTTGCGTGCTAGGGGGTGAGTGTCTGCTGGTAGCCGTGTTTGCTTGCGGTGGGTCGTGAGCCCTTCAGCCATCTGTGGGGGCGCATTCCGTGGTCTCCCGTGGGTTACAATTCTACCTGCCCGTGTGTACCCATCGAGTGCGGAGTGGAGAGCGACATGGCGTGTGTAGCTGGTCATTGAGAGTAATGTTGGTGTTGGGATGGCCATGTGGTGTCGGTGCTGTGTGTGTGCCTGTCATCTGCGTGGTCCCTGTCCTGTGATGGCTACGGGACCTTTGGCCTGCAGTTCCCTGGTGGGTAAGGGTTGCACTTAATGGAAAATTGGAGTGTCTAGATGTCTTTTTTCGGTGCCTTCCGTCGGGTGCGGCGGTCGTGGGTGGGCGAGCTGTGCATGTTGGAGGGTATGTTAACCTCGCCTGAATTACCCTCAGGCATGGAGGGGGGGGGGGTGAACATTGGGTGTGCGACAGTCGGGAATGGGCAAGGTGTTTCTCCCTGTATATGTAATGGCCTACAAGGTGGGAGATATATATATTTAAAAAAAAAAAAAAAGCTATGAAAAAGAGCAAAAGGTAACAACAGATGGATGCAGTCTCTGTGTCAAATGGACACTATTAGATCTGACCCAGATTAGAGTCTGGATGTGAACCCTGCTCGGGAGGTCGAAGCAGAGTCGCTTGGCACAAAGTCTCGGGTGGTCGCGGGGTCCCAACCATGCGGGTTCTGTGTTGTCTGGCAGAGCGAGTCCGGGGGTAGGCCCAGTGCTTGAAGGCTCTTTGTGGCGTTGTGCAGGTTCCGGATGGTGATGGTGGCGTCTCCTCATGGGATCAGCAGCGAGCGAGCTTGGCTCCAGCGGTAGCTGATATTCTTCGTGCGTAGGAGGGAGGTGAGTGGTAAGGGTAGTATGCCCGTTAGGAGGCATCTGGTAAAGTGTGTGAGTTCTTTAGGCTGCACATTCTCAGATTTCAGTTTTTTTTGCCTCCTTTTGTCTTCCAGGGTGTCAAATCTGCTGTCATGTGCTGCTTTCTGTTGTTGTAGATCTGCCACCTGTTGTGTCAGCTCCTTAATTTGCTGTGTGTGTTCTCGCGATGTATTTTCCACCTCCCAAGGTGGCCTGTCAGGTCTCGCAGATCCTCTCGGGTCAGGGCCACATCTGCTGCGATTTTTAGGTGGTGGCCCGCCATTATTGCCCTGATGGCTGTTAGTGCGACGGAGCAGTGCAGGGGCGCCGTACATACCGCTGTTTGCTGCACCGTGACTGCCGTGAGGTCTCCCTCCTCCTCCTTCTCCTCCTCCAACGCCCCGTCGAAGAAGTCTGAACAGCCGCCGTGGAGCACCGCCATCTTATGTTCGAGTGCGCCATGTGCCTGCCGCCAGATGCTCATATCCTGCCGGGGTTGATCGGGCTTAAATTTTTTGGTTTTCTTGCCCATGCGGTAAGTAGTGGGGTCTTCTTGGGTGCCTCTGGAGCGTGGCGTGTTTCTATTTTCAAAGTTTCGCATTTTGTTTAGCCGGAGCTCGGAGGCCATGCAACCGTCTGCCTTGATGGTTAGGTCACGCCCCCCAAGTTGCTAAAAAATTTATTGGTTATATTTATCAGTTTTGTCATACTGCAGAGATTCTTATTGTCATGGCTTCATTTGGTTCAAATATATAGTTTTATATACATTAGTTTACAATTCACTAAACTGGGAATTGCATAAAAATTACAGGCAATTGCAATGTTTAGTGGAGTTGTGCATTCGGTTTCAAACAGATTGCAATTTGTCTAAATTTTGGCTGATCAATAGGTCACGTGGATTCTATAACTTGGGTATGGTATGGACTGATAAACCACTTAATAAATAAAATAAAATAAAATAATAAAGTAATTAAACCAGGGATCAGCTGGACTAGTTTCATAAAAAGGGTGTGAAAATGAGCCCATCACAGTACTGTAAAATATATATACATGCAAATATTTCTGTGCCGGTTTCCCAAATTGTTTGCATATACAATATTCTGTATTAGGACGAGACAAACTGCCGCATTGACAAAATTCCGCAGACCATATTAAATAATTTTCCGGGCCAAATTGATTCAGCCAAACCACATTTTTCCACCTTGTCCAAGTCTAATGTTTATGACTAAATGCAGGGCCGGTGCGTCCATAAGGCAGCACAGGCAGCTGCCTTAGGGCACAAGAGCAGGAGGGCACAAAAATCCGAATCCCCTTGGATTTTTTTAATTACCTGTCTCCCTACAGCCTGCAGCCAGCACACAGCAGCAATTGAAGATGGTCGGCTACTCCTGATGATGTCAGGAGGAGGAGGCGTGAATTTCACTGCTCTTCTCTCAGACTCCCCAGGGGATGGGAGAAGAGCAGTGGAAGTCACGCCCCCTCATCCTGACATCATCAGGAGAGGCTGGCTGACTTCAATTACTTCTGTGTGATGGCTGTAGGCTCAAGCTCCTGTCTCACCCCTCCCTGGCCCACTGTAAGCCTCTGGGAGGGGGGATACATTTTTTTTTAATCCAATTGTTTTTGGGGGGCAGCCCCTGTCCAACCCCACTGTGCCCCCACCACATCCTCTGTGTCCCCACCACAGCCCCTATGCCCCCTATAGTCCCTGCCCCCTCCACAGCTCCTATCACCCTCTAGAGCTCCTGTGCCCCCTCTCTCAGTCCCTGTGCCCCCTTCTTACCACAGCCCCCACTCAAGCTTCTGTCCCCCCTCTCATTCTCCCCCCTTCAGCACTTGTCCCCTCACTCCAGCCCCTGTCCCCCCTCACTCCAGCTCCTGCCTCCCCTCACTCCAGCTCCTGTCCTCCCTCCAGCTCCTGTCCCACCCCCCATCCCCCATTCAGTCCCTGTGTAACCCCTTCTCAGGGCCTGTGTCCCTCATCACAGCCACTGTCCCCTCTCTCAGCCCATGTAACCTGAGTTTTCCACCACCACAGCATGTGTCCACAACTCTCAGCCCCATGGGGGGAAAAAAGAGACACACAAATGGGCTTGGATACACAAGGGGGGTTGTAAGAGACACACAAGAGGGTGTAAAACATAGTAAAGGGGAGATAGAATACAATAAAGAGGGTAATAATTCAAACGAGGGGTTACAAGAGACACATGTGAAGACGCATTTTTAAGGGGGGGGAGGCGTCAAAATGCATCTTTACTTGTGTAGCCAAAAATCCTTGCACCGGCCCTGCCTAAATTTAGCTAGAAAACTTCTCCAGGTAAGCACTTTTTTGAATCTCATAAACTCAGAATTTAGTGATTAAGCCTATGAGTATTTACCAGAAATAGCGGATCAAGATTCCTCTTTTATTTATATTTTTATATAGTAAGTCCGGGGATGCACAAACAACACCATGAAGTTACAAACACATATAATTACAGCACATACAAAACAAGTAGCTAAACATTCGAAGTTGTTACATGTATCACTTTACTTTTACAAATTTTACATTCTGTAATGTTTTCTTTAAAAGTTGTGGAACTCTGCAGGAGAAGGATCATCAACCCACTTCCTTCTTTTAATGGTCAAGAGTACCATGAAATCTAAAGTTTGGAGATCTAGAATAAGCGTGCTGCTCAAGTTGGGCAGGAGCTTTCCATAGAAATGTTTTTTGCCCTGGTAAGAAAGGGAATTGACCCTAGTACATCTTGATTCTAGAATTGACATTTCAGATTATCTACCATATTGCAATGAAAACAGTTATGTTCATTTTGATGGTCAAATTGACATATTGGAGGAGATTTATAAAAGCATAGACTTTTATTATTTTTTTCTGTCTAAAAAAGTGGCAGAGCTTTATTCAATAGTGAAGAATCTCCAGCACAAGTATTAACAAATTCAACCAGGTTCTGGCTTTACTGTCGTAACTTTTCAAGGTCCTCTTCTGGTTCTCATTAGCTTTGGAAAGGTTAGGTTTCAATACACATAACACAGTTTCTCAAAAATTGCCATGACATCAATCCACAGAAAACCAATAACTACATTGATCTGGTGAAATTATTCTCAAGGTAATAAAGTCAATGTTGCTTTCATAATGCTGTTGGCTCATTCAAGGTTATCAAAAGAAATATTGGTACAAGGTCTTGTGAGAGTTGGAGCTATCACTATGATGAAACACATGATCTTCTCTTAATACCAGAAGCCCAAGACAGAAATTCACTTGAGACACTTATGGAGATAAACAGGACTTCAATCCTTTGTACTCTCTAGAACAGTCAACTCAGCATTTCATCTTTGTATTCTCAATAAAAGGAAATCGATAATAAAAATTATATTGCAGGACATACTATAAAACAAAAGACATTTCAATGTAGGCATTTGTGTTAAATAAAAATCAACAGTAAATTTGTATAAAATACATTAATGTTAGTATTAGAATTTTACAAGTAAGAAATTAAGAATAGCTATACTTGTTATACCTTACAGATTAATTAGTAGAATGTGATAGAATCTCAATAATTCACCTGTGTATTTATGCCTCTCTGTTAGCAAAAAGAATTTGTATTATGTTGATTATCGTTACGGGTATTTCTAAAGTACCAACATCTTCCACAGTGTTGTACAAATGAGTAAAATAGATAGTAGAGTATAACAAACCAATATAAAAGGAAGTACTAAGCTAGATGACTAATGAGCGTACAGTATGAAGGTTATGATTGAGATTTGAGACAAGAGGAAGCAGGGGGAATTCGAAGGTAATGGACAGGGAGTCTTAATTAATTTGACAGACTGCGAAGACGCAATGAAGTTAAAGAGGTAATTGGAGAATATGCTATTCACATGGAAAGACATGCTATAAAGAAAGCCAAGAGCATGGTGGGTAGGTAGTCCTTAGTGAAAATGGCGGCTATTGTTTGTACTGAATAGTGTGTGTGAGGCCTCTAAATAAGGTCGAATGATGAGATAATGGGTGAAAATATGTATTGTTGGGGAAAGCGAAGGGTAAGAACAATGAAAGAGGAAGCGAAAAACAAATGTGAGGTGTGAAAAAAGATTGTCAAATAGGTTCTATCAATTTAATAATCACTTTTACAGAAATACTAATAGGCTGCGTGTACAGAATACCATAACAATTGCATGTACATAAAACTATAATTGAAAAAGTAACAGTGAAGAAAGTTACATTGGAAGAAAGAAGATAATAAATATAGATTTGTAGATCATTGTCATAACACTCGTAACCGGTTAATTTTTCACTTCGCTCTGAATGATTGGGAGACTGTTATGCCTCAGGGCGAACCATTCAGCTGTGAACCTGTTTTGCATGTTTTCTTGTGATTTTATCCTGGAAATATCTGTTGTGACCGGACTTGTACAGCCTGTTGCTTGCTCTTAAACATCCTTTATAAGTAAACTGTTTGAATGTATAAGCACTTGTTTTGTTTTGACAAAATAGACAAATACAGTTAGGGAAAAAAGTATGTGATCGATGGCAAAGAAATGATCAGTCTATAATTTTAATGGTAAGTGTATTTTAACAGTGAGCGACAGAATAACAAAAAAAATCCAGAAAAATGCATGTTAAAAAAAGTTATAAATTGATTTGCATGTCAATGAGTGAAATAAGTATTTGATCCCCTATAAGCAAGATTTCTGTCTCCCAGGTATCTTTTATACAGGTAACAAGCTGAGATTAGGAGCACTCTCTTAAAGGACACATGTCCACAGAAGCAATCAATCAGATTCCAAACTCTCCACCATGGCCAAGACCAAGGAGCTGTCCAAGGATGTCAGGGACAAGATTGTAGACCTACACAAGGATGGAATGGGCTACAAGACCATCGCCAAGCAGCTTGGTGAGAAGGTTACAACAGTTGGTGCGATTATTCACAAATGAAAGAAACACAAAATAACGGTCAGTCTCCCTTGGTCTGGTGCTCCATGCAAGATCTCACCTTGTGGAGTTTCAATGATCATGAGAACGGTGAGGAATCAGCTCAGAACTACACGGGAGGATCTTGTTTGAAAACCTGTAATTAACTGTCATGTATAATTACATATTATACCAGTGAAAAACTGTTCTTAGCTGACAACTCAGCATTGGCTATTTAACATCCCATCCCAACTCAGATTGTTTCCATAATAATTCCTACATAACATCTTAAATTCACTGTCCATTACTGACTGCATGGTAGTTGAATGAAATTATGTGTTTGGCTGTAACTTTATAAAAGTGTAAGATCGCTAGTCTATCAGGATAATTGTTTGTTGCTATTACTTTTTTTACCCCAATTAC